AAAAATATATGGAATTTATATTATCATTTAGTTTTTATTAATATAAATAACTTTAGATGTTTTTTTTAATAATTTTATAATTCATATCATTTTATTCTTAATAATTATTTTTTTGCTTCATCGACTTTAATAAAATAATTTTAAAATATATCCTAATAATTAACTTTATTTATTTATTAGATTTATTTTGGTTATGATGTTTTAAATTTTTGAAATATCTTAAGTAGAAATGGATTATGTCAAGAATATGAATCTTAATAAACTTAGTAAAATAAAGTATTTTTATATAAAACTAAAAAAAAAGACTATAAAGACTAAAAATAATTGTGTATATATATATATATATATTTAAAAATTAAATTGACTCCAAGTTTTATTTAATTTAATCCACTAATCAAAACCATCATTATATTCTTTGTCTCATACTTCTTATTCTCAATAAATTCTTCATATCCTTCATCCCAACATATATGAAGAAACATATGTGTTTTTGAACAAAATTATAGCATTTGGAAGTTCAAAATGAAATAAAATTATAAAGAAAAAAAAACTCTTGAAGAAAAAAAAAAAAAAAAAAAAAAAAAAACTTCTAAGCATAAATTAAGTAGTAGCAAATATAGCAACAGTAGTAGTAAATTAGATTCGATTTGTATGAATTCAGACATTGATTGTGAAGGGGCTCAATTTCACAAGGAGAAAGAAGAAGTTGTTTAAGAATATAATAAAAGAACTTACAATGGTATAGAGATGGAGAAGTTCATAGAAGAGGTGATTGCACAAGAAACAATGTATACGTAGCCAATAAGAGTCAATAGTGGTTGCGATATTGGTAATGAAATATTTGTCTATGAAGTTTGTGGAGTAGCTAAAAAAAAGCACAAACAAAAGAAGGAAAGATACTTAAAGAGATTCAAAACAAGAAAATATAGTCGTCCAAAGAGATTGATAAAGAAAAAGTGAAGTTAGTAAAGAGAATCAAAAATGGGTAAGAGATGTTGCCTAAAGAAAATAAAAACAAAGAAAAAAAGATATCTAAAGAGATTAAAAATAGAGAGGAGAAGTTACTTGTGGAGATTCAAAATAGAAAAGAAAAAATTGATGAAGAGAGTAAAAAGGAGAAAAAAATTTGACAATCTTATGGTAGAAGAGGAAAAGATCAATAATGAGAGTAGATAATATATTCCAATTGCCATTGGAAAAGACTTGATATAAAATTTCAAAAAAATTGATAACATTTCTTTTAATGAAGCAACAAAATTAATCTTTGACATCACTATGATTTGGATTGGGTACCATTATAGCTTGACTCTTACACTTAGTTGTCTAATATATGCTAGCAGGTGCACAAAAATAATGCACTTACAATAACCTAGGTATAGAATGTGAAAAAATTACATTTTGATCTTGTCTTTTACTGCCTAATAATAATAAATCCATATAATCTTTTTTTTATTCTTAAATAAAAAAAATAAAACTTCATTGAAACTTACATTAGAAATATCAAATGCATATGATTAGTTCATGTTATTTATATATAAGCCATCTCAACTGCAACATTGAATGTTGTAATAAAACTTACGATTGTATTATTGATTGTATTACATCCAATAGATTGATATACAATTGAGCTTTTGAAATTTGGTTTGAAGTTATGGCTATAATGAAAGGAAAGCAATAGGGTGAGATGGGATTTTTTAAGACTCAAATTTGAGATTGAATGGAATGACAATGTCAACAATGATTACTTGGGATATGGAATGAGAGCATCAAGGAAGAATAAGGGATGAAAGTAGTAAAGAGGGATGGGAGATGAGAATAGTAAGGAGGAACAGTGAAAATGAAAGACATGTACTAGAAACATAGATGGAAAGTTGGGATAGAAGTCAAGAATTAAGAACAAAATTAGAGAGGTTGTCATAAAAGATGGTGTTGAAATATATTACACCTATTAGATGAAAGAAAAAATAAGAATTCTATTATAAAAAGGCTTAATTAAAAATATCATAGAAAATTATCTTAGAAGCATAGATAATAGATAAAAAAAAAAAGTAGCAAAATTGATAAGTAGTAATAATGCATCTTTGCAAAAATGGACTTCTATTTAATTTGTACAACCATAAATGAAGCAAAACAAAGTAAATAAGAAAAATAATTAATATAAGGATCTTCAAGAAGGAGCAAAGAGAAATTTTTAGCAAATATTATATTAAATAATCAAAAATTAATACTTAGAGACGATTGATTATGAATCAAGATCAAAATCAAACCTCAATGTATAAAATTTCATACTTGTGGCAATTTTGGAATTTTTTTTTTGATCAAAGAGCAAGATTAGAGAAAAAGCTTTACAAAGGTCAAATAAACATTAATTTATTGAATTTTAGGGAGATTTTTAAAATTAAATATATTTTTGGTGATTTTGAGATTTTAAAAAATAAAAAGAAATTTACATATTTGAAGAATTTTTTAGCATAAAAGCAAAGGTATAAGTGAAAGTTTTTGAATTTATAAATGTATTTGTTTTAAATAAATTTTATAAATTTAAGATAAATTAAATAATTAAATTGAAGGCAATAGAAGTTTGATTAAAATCATAGATATTAGAATTTTAGAATTAATCAAATTTTTTGTGATCTTAAAAAATTCTATAATCCAATTAAAGCAAAGTCTTGTGAGGGCATAGAAGGCTTAAGTTTCTATTCTTTTGTTAATTTGAAGAGCAATTAAATAGTTCAACAAGGAATAATTGTTGCTAGAAGATCAACATCTGAGTTGGAGAAGGAAGACAATTGACATCTGGGAGTATTAAAAGCTTTATTTTTCCAATTAATAAGTTTGATTTTTCTCAAACTTTATATGCTTTTTTTTTGGAAGTTCGAAATGCAAGAAAAAAATTAGTAAAAGTTAATGATTCAATTAATGGTTATTAGATTTTAAAAATTGCTATAGGAATTTAATTAAGATTTATTTGGAATTTGTTTAGAATTTCTCTAAGATTTCATTATGATTTCAATATAGTTTTATTAGAATTTTGTTAGGATTACTTCGGATTTTATCAAGATTTTTTTAAAGATTTCATTAAAATTTATTAAAGATTATTTAAGGTTTTATTAGAATTTATTTAGGATTTTTTAGGATTTTTTAGGATTTTATTAAGATTTTATTAGAATTTATTAAGGATTTATTTAATTAAAATTTATTTTCTATTTCTATGGGATTTTATTTTAAAATATTATTTAAAATTTTCTTTATTATCTCTTTAGAATTTTTATTTTTATTATTTTTTTATATCTTATATTTTTAGTATTTTTTACTAATGATTACTTATAAGTTTTATTTATGATTTCTATAGAAGTTTTTTAAGTTTTCTTTATGTTTCTTTTATAATTTCTTTAAGTTTTTTTTTTGGATTTGAATAAGATTTTATTAGGATTGTTAAGGTTTAATTGAGATTTATTTAGGATTTTATTAGAGTTGTTGGGACCTTATTGTTGCAATTCTTATTTACCTTCTACAACCAAGTGTCTAGTGCATTTTTGAGCAAGACTTCATGCAAAACAATAATAGGATTTAAGAATGGGAGTTTGAAGACATGGTATAATGATGGTTTTAATAGATGGATCAATTTAGTAAAAGCCAGGAGCTAGAGTTAATTTTAACATTCTTACATATATATATATATATATATATATGCATTCATGAAAAAATATATATAAATTTAAGAAAGATTGTTGTTAAATACAAATAACCATAAAATCTTGAATACAAAGAAAATAGTTAGAAAGGTAATGGCCACTTTAAAGATAGTCTAAATGATATTTTTATACATTCTAGTTGATAAAAAAAAAAAATTACGTGAAAGCATTATAAGGTCTACAAGGCTTGTAAGCAAACTATCTAAGTTGCAAAATGCTTCAAGAGAGTTTCTAAAAAACACAACATTTCTTTAGAAAATGGCTTCATGATATATTTTATGGATCCAATAAACATTTATAAAACTTTTTCAATGTTTTTTTTAACAAAACAATATCAACTTAATCTATTTTTATCTACTTTCAATCAATCCTATTTATGTAAATTATATGAATATTTACAAAAATCAGTATGTTAATATTATTTTTTAAATTAATTTATTTGAACAATCACATCTATATTTTTTTATTTTATACATGTAGTAGCATAGGAAATATATTACTTTTGTAAGAATATTTAAATATATACGAATATATATATATATATATATATATATATATCAAATAAATTTGAAATATTTTAAAAAATATAGTCTAATATGTAAAAGAATTATTTCATTTTTTATCTCAAAACAACAAAGATATTAAATTACTAACTAATATTTATTACGTTCTAATTATACATATAAAAGATATACATAGGATCAATAATATACCATAGTTTGTTGCAGGTCAAACACTTTAAAGAAACTGAAACATTTTTTCAAGTCTTAAAAAGTAATTTTTATCATAGACTTAAGTATCCAAAATATTAATGTTTTTTTCTAAATTTGTTTCTTCTATACCACAACATTGTTATTAAAATTACTCAATAAACCAGAGTTTGGTCAACATTGTGAGATCCGGACCCACATGATACCGTAAGTTCGGGACCATAGGCCCTGCTTAATTGATTAAAGAGTAAAAGATGGGAGAGAAATAATTAACCTCAAACAAAGCAAACAATACAAACCATCAGATGGGGGGGGGGAGGAGGCACTGGAAGTGGCAACACAACGGTGTCGAAAAAAAGCTTCTCGACGCTGCCACATCAACCACTTTCGCAGCCACCGTGGCAACCTCGATCACGGAGGCGGCCACGCCAAAAGAAAGGGGATCCTCGTAATATCCGCTGGTATCATTTGAACGCTCTGCCTGCGCCACATCGGCCGCGGGCGGGGGCTGAGTGCGAGCAGGCCACCTGCACCCACCCAGCCCGGCCTGGGTGGCGCAAACCTGCGATGCCCGTGACCCCAAGCAAGCAAGGGCGAGGCTGCTTCCTGGAGGGAGAGGAAGAGGCCGTGCCATCCAGAAGGAAATCGGGTGCCGACGTCCTCCTCCTCGCTGCAGCAGTTACGAATCCCGTCGATTCCCAAGCTTGGACGCACCCACCAGCTCCGCCTCCCCAATTTGGATAAATTTGGACGGTTTTGGACGCCCGGAGGTGGCAGTAGTTGAGCTGCGGGCGCGGCCATTGTAAGTCTGTTGTATGATGTCTGCCTCGTTGTTGTAGCATTTGGGCCATTCAATGCTTCCGAGCAGGGGTTAGGGTGTGCGGGATTACGAGGTGCGACATTGCTGGAGTGCTTAGAAGTGAAAATTTGTGCTGCATTTGCCTCGTTTGCCAATTCTGCTTGAAATTCGGCGTGTTTGCGGATTTGGTGTGTTTAGGACATGTGGACATGTTGATTTGTTTGGAATGGAATTCGCTTCTTGTGGTATCCAGGTGGGATTCCGATTGGCAGGGTTGGGACGTCTCGTACGAAGGTTCTTGTGTAGTGGTTGGTGATGAAGCCGCTTATTTTGGAAGCTATGTTGGATTTCGAATGTTTGTGGTCGTTTTGTTGACGTATTGATGGCAGTGGTGTGTTCGACCTCTCGCCGCATAGTGCCTGATTTATTAAAAAGTGTAATTGAGGCGTGTAGTTTGTCGTAGTTGGTCGGTTTGTATCAGTAGCTTACTTAGAGCTTTACTGGACATGGTTCCATTCAGCAGTGGGGCACATCTTGCACCAGCCTTGTTGCATCAATCATCAGAGTAGCCATTTTTTGGTTTTAGGCTAGAAGTCGAGGAATCGTGTACAAGTTCAGGGTTCTCTCTCTCTATCTCTCTCAATTTTTTTCGAATATAAATAAAACTATAATTCAGAAATATACTGGCAGTGCATCGGGAGAATACATTTTCATGATTTAGTCCCGCAAATTCTTTCCTGCGTCAAGGAAACTCTTGGGTCTTGTCTCTGCAAATCTCTGCATTCGTGCTTGGTTGTTTAAAAGCTAATTGGAACTGTAGCACGTTTTCGTAGTAGACTCAGCACAAAGCTCAATTGCAACTGCAACAGGTTAGTCAGAATTTTGCCATGGCAGAAGCTTCAACTCTATTTGCCACGGTGCCTGTTGTGCCCGCGACATCCTCTTCTTCTTCACGAACCCAGTGCAGATTGCAATGGGGAAGTGGAGTACTGTTTGGTAATACGGGTTGTGGAACTGCGGGAATTTCCTTGAAATCCGTAAAGTTTTCAAAGCAGCTCACGGATCCGACAGGACTGAATCGCCCACAAGCGTTGACAGGTACTTCATTTCCCTTGGGCCTCAAACCAGGATACGAACTGTACATGTCATGCAGGAAGTTTTGGTCATAAATCTAGAGCCTATTTAACTGTAGCCATTAATTAGTAGCTGAAAGATTAAGAAAAATTCTTGTCCTGAAATTCTAAAATTAATCAAAGAGTATCGCGATCAAATGATGCAAGTCACTGTGTGCAAATGCAAACCTAAGTGACTAATACTGTTACTATGCAGGTGACCTATTGAGAATTGGTCGTCATAGTCGTCATCTCCAGGTCCGTGCAATCTTAACAAGTGATCCTCCGGTTGCAAGAGACGATGCCGAAGAAGTAAGTTTAACGACTTTTGCAATTTGTGCATTGTAGTATCCACAAAAAGTGAAGGAGAATCCGTCTGCAACTAGATAAATACCTAGCTTTTGTATTTCAGCGACACGAAAATATTCGTTGAGTGCATGCATGTTTGGAATTTTACTGTCATGCAGGCGTTGTTGGAGATTGACTTGAGGTTTGAATTTTTGCTGCTTTGATTCTGTTTGAGCACAGAAAAGATGGGCTAGTGGACCGGACAAGTAAAAGCTCACAAGTAGAAATGTCTGGTTGCAGAATGGTACCAGGCAGACCGTGTCTGTGGTCTTGCTTGCTGGTGGCAAGGGTACACGCATGGGAGTAAGCTCCTTCGTTATTTTCTCTGTTCAACTTTTCTCCTATTCATACATAGCGAATTCATTCGTTAGGCTCTAAATAGTGAGGCGTGAATTGGGCTTAGCGTTTTCTTCGATTTCAACAATTACGGAGACTTATTTGAAGCACTCGTCTGAAGGTCTATCTGCATTTGCAGGCCAACATGCCCAAGCAGTATCTACCTCTTCTTGGTCGACCTATTGCACTACATAGGTACGGTTAATAATATCCATTTGTGATGACTAATCACGGCTTTCTCCTGTTTGTTTATCTGTAAGGTGGTTTTTGTTTGATCTTTTTCGGCTTCTCCCATCCCAGGTGGCCATGGATGTCACCTTCTTAAAGGTGCCCCTTTGTCCGCGGATCTACTTGCTACCATTTTGGGTTTTTGTTGTGATGCGTGGACTGGCACTCTGTTTATGCACTGCATCACACGTTTCGCTTGTTAAAAATCTCAGCATTGCACATGAATTTACGTCTTATTCGTTAGTTTTGGAGGGTTCTTATTTGGTCATTGTCATTGCGTTTTTATTTATTTATTTATTTGTTTATCTATGCAGCTTTCAGACGTTTGCACACATGATGGAGGTTTTAGAGATAGTGGTGGTGTGCGATCCTTCATATAGAGGCATTTTTGAAGGTTTGTTGTACGCTTTCCTAGATCATAACTAGAAGCTTGTGATGCATATGTGCGACTCATGCCTTTTCAAGTGTTGTCAGTAACAAAACTACCGCATCTCTTTTAGAAACTGTGGGTTATTTTAGACTTCCCATGAACTGATATTGCATTCATTTGGGCCCAGGATTCATACTTCTTTGAATTTCTAACCACGTTGTATGTGCTGCAGAAGCTGCAAAGGATGTCGCGGTACCTGTGAAGTTCGCCATCCCAGGAAAGGAAAGACAAGATTCTGTACGAAGCGGTTTAAATGTATGAACTCTTCCCTATTTTCTCTTACAGAAGCTAATTTGTCCAAAACTTGCCTTTTGCCTGCTGAAGAGTGACGACAGCTAATACTCATGTTTCCAGGCATTCAGAAAGTGCCCTGTTCACCTAAGAGTATTTGGATCAACTGATTTTTTTTTGAAAAATTCGTCACCGTGTAGTTGGAGGCAACCAGATAATTAGTCTCTGTTCGATTGCCAGTGCGTGTGCAAATGAGATAGGGATGCACCGTTTATCTCCAGGTCTTGAAAAGGTTTTGTAAAGAGAGTCATTCAAGCGTCTTTTAACCAATGAAGTCATCATAAATTCTGCAGGAAATTTCCAGTTCTGCAAAGCTTGTGTGTATTCATGACTCTGCGAGGCCTCTCGTGCTCGCCAAGGACATCCGCAAGGTCATCACCTAGCTCTCGTTCGTGGATCTGTAATTTGTTGAGGGATGTATTTAAATCTGCTTCTTTCTCATGCCATAATTTTTATTGACGTAAACAGATCTTCTAATGTCCCAAGTGACACGACCATAGTCTGGATGATCACATAAAGTTTACTATCTAAATGCTTCAGGTTTTGAAAGATGCTGCAATTCATGGTGCTGCAGTTCTCGGCGTGCCTGTGAAGGCCACCATTAAAGAGGTCATTTTCTTTTCCTCTAACCTCATCTTTCATTCTTTTATTAACTTTGTTTAATTACAAAATGTGACCATGCCACCATGATGCTCCTTGAACAGGCAGCAAGTGACGGCTTCGTATCAAAAACCCTCGATAGAAAGTATCTGTGGGAGATGCAAACCCCTCAGGTAATGCTCTAATTCTTCTTGTACCACAGCATCCCTATTTGTCCAGGTTTTTTGGTTTGCCTCAAGTTGCAAATCATTCTTGCTTCTAGATGTGTTTGTCGATTTCCTCAACAGAAGAAATATGTCGAAATAGTTTATAATGCCAACAATGTCGTGAATTTGAATGTCAGGTAATTGAACCGGAGCTGCTTAGGAGAGGTTTCGAGTTGGTGGAGAGGTATTAAATACAGAGGCACAGCTCTTTAAAGCTTTATTGGTGATTGTAGGGAAGGCAGACGTTGTTTGCATGCCAGAAAATGATTCTGACGCTCTAGATGCACTTGCATGTGTCTATCACAACAGGGAACATCTAGAGGTCACAGATGATGTGTCGATCGTGGAGCACTTGAAGCATCTTGTCTTCATCACAGAAGGCTCGTACACAAACCTCAAGGTGCGCTCCCATTGTGTATTGTGTCGATACGTCTCGATGTCGGTGCTGTATATTCTATCCTGTTGTGATTGCCTCAGTGCTGATGAGACATGTTGCACTTGTTTTGGATCCGAGGCAGGTAACAACCCCCGACGACCTTCTAGTGGCTGAAAGGATACTGCACCAGGGCAGTGCACAAGGTGTAGTGGCAGTCTGAGACTAATGCTGTGTATGGAAAAGGGTTGTAGATGGTGTCTGAGGTAGTAGTAGGCAGGTCTGTCTGTGTCCATCTGAGCATGGTCCCAGCAGTGTAGAGTAGACGGCAGCATTCCAGCTGTATATCACCATTGTATCAAAACGCCTGCCGGACAAAAAGGGCTGGCAGGTCTGGTTAATGACATTAATTCACTGGAGTAGAGCTGGCTGTGACGTTATTCTCGTTGTATCTGCTTTATGGGGACGATTGGTGCTTATTCGTAGGGGGTGCTTGCTTCTAGTTTTTGTTGCTGAAAGTTGCTGTAGACTGTTCATGATTCTTCTATAAGATTCCATGTTGCAACATTTGCTGCCTCTCTCACGCCCTGAAAACTCTCAAACTCGAACCCTTGCTTGTATCCACACAAGCGATCCTTTAGTTGAAAACAAATAGTAGGTGAAAACGCCTCAGTTGCGAGTTGTTTCAGAAGAGGAGCCATGAGGTCCTCATTCATCTATGGCTCTGTCCGTCAGACCCGGACCCCTCCGCCACCCTCCCGTGTACCCTGGCTCAAGTCGAGCACTCAATTACCACAATGGCAACGATCGCTTCGTCGTCTTGTGTCTTCACAGCAGCGAGCTCACATTCGCGCGCTAACTTTGTTGGCCAACCGCCAAAAAGAAAATACGATTTGCTAGCTGATTGTCGCAGTCTCTCAGCTGCACGCATCTTTTCACCTTAGTGTAGACTGAAGCTGCTGGTAATTCTTGTCACAGGAAGCCTTTCGCCGGGGTTGCAAATTGCGAGCTACGATGAAGCTCGTCAGGTGCAGTGCCTTTCCCTTCTTTTACTCTGTTGTGTATTTCGGGTTTCGTTTAGGATAGTTTTTCCTTTTCTGGTTTGTGATGTGGATTATTGCTGTTGGCGTGACGATTTTTGGGATTTGTGGGTTGTTGGTGGGTCCAGATTTTTGATGAAACTGAACAATGAAACGGTTTCAATGGAGCTGAAAAATGGTACCATTGTGCACGGCACTATCACAGGTACGTTACTACAATCAATCGAGCTTCATCTTCTTGCCTTTACTCTTAACTACAATGAGGTGTTTCGATGGCATGGTTGTCTTAGGTCATGTTTTTCGAATACTCCAGCTATTATAGATTTGTTCTGTTGCGTTTTGCATGCAGAGCAGATTTAATGTGCACTTGGGGTTTTAGGTTTTGCCGACTTTTTATATTGGAGTTGCTCTGGTAATAGACCTCGTCCTTAATAATTCTCCTAATCCAGGTAGACATTTAGAACTTCGACTTCCCGCTTTCAAGCTTGTGTAAAATTAGAACAATGAGCCTAGTGCACAGACATTGCTATAGCTCTTTTACGTTTTTAGTAACTTGTCATTGTGTTGTAGTATATCTTTGGAGTTCTTTATGTCATAATTTATTCTGTGAGTCGTACGTAAGATGTGCGAATGGTGGTTGGTTTAGGGTTAAGAAAAATAAAACAAAAAAGTAGGAGAGATTACCAATGAGCTTTCCCGTAGTCCATTGAATATTTTGAGAAATGTTGATCGCGCATCACCTTTTGCGCAGGTGTGGATATCAGCATGAACACGCATTTGAAGTCTGTAAAACTTACTTTGAAAGGAAAGGTCCCCGTATCTTAGTGTTCGTGGCAATAACATTCGATATTACATCTTGCCCGACAGCTTGAATCTCGACACGCTCCTCGTCGATGACACACCACGTGTGAAGGCTAAGAAGCCTGTTGCAGGTACAGTTTCTATTTTTTATTTTTAAAAATTGGTTAGGGATGAAGAGTCTTGTGTAGCATCGAGGAGTTTTAAATTGAGTGCAAGGAAGGGCTCTCTGAATGCAAGCTCAAACATTTACATAGTTATTTGCTACTCATATTTCCCACAGATGGTGTAGTCTATTAGAGCTTTCATTGTTCATTGTTCGTTTCTTGCAATACCTGATTTATTGTGGCAGTGATCCAACTGACAAGGGTGAGCTTGTTGCGCAGGCAAACCAGTGGGCAGAGGGAGAGGGCGTGGTCGTGGAAGGGGGCGTGGACGTGGGCGCTAGTTCTGTGTGTTGGACCTCTTTCAGGTTTCTGATGTACTTCCCAGTGCAAGCTTTTTGTAGGAGTTCTAAGATTTCCAGTGCAAAAAAACTCTGAACAGATATATATATATATATAATTTGTGTGTAAGTGTGTGTTAGTGTTTCTTTTTGTTGATACCTAAGACGTGACTCACTTCTCCATTTCGTCTCAGTCTTGAGTCCTTTAAATGGATTTCATACCCAGTATTATTAATTTTCTTCTTTTCCTTTAAAATTTGTAAATTCTTGATGCTTAAGATGGAGTTTTTCCATCAAGGTTCTTAAATTTAACCGTTTTTCTATTTGTTACAGGGTTTCTAGTGAATCTCTTTAGCTGCCTTCTTGCATTAGTATCGTGTGAGCTTTTCAAGATTTCTAAAATCATTTCTTGTGACAAACTTAACTTTCTAATCTTAAAACTGAATTAAAACTTAGAAATTAGTTGACCCTCGGAGGCCAAGGGATTCCAGCAAACATGTATCCGTATTAATCACACAATGAACACCAATGTAATTACTGGTTGCATATGATGCAATACTCTTGTGAAGTGGAAACTCATAGCACAAACATTATAGTTTTATGAAATGCACCGCCATCAAAAGATAAGTTGAAAGTTTATTTACTGAGTCGAATTTTTCTATGACCTAGATGATCTTTATCTACTTCGAAACCTTCATAAATTGAAATGAACATCAGGTTGCATATTTTAAATTGCAAGAACTAGTCGAAGACATTTGAAAAAAAGTAAAATTTTAAATTTTAAATGATAATGTTCAAAAATCAAAGTCATGCATAAGTATAGTTATATTTGGAGAATTGTTAATGCTATATCTCCAATTAATACTGCTACACCCACCCCATGTGACCTCCGTCTGAACGATTAGTTGATAATATGTCTGCACTTTTCCCTTTCTTTGCTTCAATAAAGGGTGGTGGTTGAGAGGGAGATAGGAATATTTTATGAAAAAAACATGTTGTGAGCTACTTTGTTTATTTATTTGGTTACTAAAATCACAAAAAATAATAATAATAATAATAATAATAATCTATTATTGGACTAATATTGGGATCAAACATTGGCTGGAAAATATGCCCTATATAGAAGTGCATTCTTTTTGTCAATTTAAGTCATGTGAAGGTCATGTGGGGTATAACAATATCAATTAGGGATGTAGCATTAACCATATAATGATAGTCATAATAACAATATGTATGAGAGGATATTTTTAATTATTTTTTTATTGCTTATTAGGAGTAAACAACTATCAGAGATAAAATAAAGAAATAATTTAAAAGTATCTCGGATTGAACTTTCAGTAGTGAAAGGTTTAAATTGAATTTTTTTTCTTCAATATGCAAAAACATGAATTATAGAAAAATGCAAAACACAACTTCAAATGAAAGTCTCTTTTTATGCATAGTTGAAAGCTCATAAGACCATCAAGAGCACAAGTAGGTGTAAACAATCCATACATGAACATTACTCTCAAATTATAATGAGATTAAAAGATATAGATGGGCACAAAAGGTGTTCATAAAAGTACTTACTAATACATATGACCAAATACTATATGATTATTAAAAAAAACATGAAATATCGAAAGAAAAAAAAAAGAATTGTCACTTTAGAAATGAAGCCAGCAAATTCCAAAGCAACTTAGAGGATAAAAAATTATACAGCGTTATAGGCGGTACTGCTAAATCATTAAAAATAATCATAATAATAAAAACATATTACATCTCTTGAAACAGAGGAAATTTTTATTTGTACAATGCATAATATTTCATCAAACTGAACAAATTGAACAATCTATTTGGCGTGTGTCGTTAGCATACTTCATTGTTAGTGAATAATTGGATGGAACTGTTACTCATGTAATGACTTCATATTATGAAGTTTGCGTTAATAGTTCAAATTGAAATTTTTAATGATTTCGAAAGGGGGCATTTTTCTGAAACTGTTGAACTAACTAAAAATGCAATTTATCAATGCTTCAATTTTCTGAACACAGCCCAATCAACTAGAAAGTTCAACAAATACATACAAGGAAGGCAACCTAAACATATTTAAACTTTTGTAGAGCATCGCGCATTGTGGTTAGTTCTCTTCCACGATGGATGAGTTTGATAAGTGTATATAGACATATTCATTTACATATGTTTAAAATGAAAATAGGACAGAATAATTTGCATGAAGGAGACTTGCTGTAGTAGTTATGCATTTTCATTTTTCCAGAAACTAGAAAATTTAGCAGATTCATGGTTATCACCCCAGTATGATAGATATTGTTGAAAGCCATCTCTCGATGACAAACAAATTAACACAGTAAGTCCCTAGCTTCAGTAGCTCACGCCATCCTCAACAAAATTACAAAACCTGTGTCTATTCCAAGCATTACACTGTGAGTCCACAAGCGCTGTTCACTAGTCTGCTCTGCTTGTGAAGAAATTGAGCTTACGAAACAACTCGAAATGCATCAGTCCATTACTGGATCCACAGTCAGTTGTGAAAGATGGGTACATGAAAAGACGAGGCTTCACGAATTCAAAACGACACTGACGGAGTTGCTCAGCCGAGGTCTGAAAAATCAATTTGTGTCCACAGAAATCTCTGCAGATCGAGTGTCCAAGTCCCAAGTCTACAACCAGAGTTCTACTCTATCACGGCACCAGCGCTGCGGTTTAGCAGCTGCGCTCATCAAATGATCCAAAACATTACCAACAAAACACACACTCACTCACTCACTCATATGAACAAAAGTAAAGAAAAGAAAGTAAAAAAGTAAAAAAGTAAAATCGTAGCGTCGATAGGTTCATTCCGATCTATCAACTGCTGCCTGCTTGCTGCGAGATAAAAATTAGTTATAATCAGCTGCTGCATATCCCTGCACCGCAGAAGCAAGGATAGTTAACATCCCCTTGAGCTTGCGTTCGTTCTTTCGATGGCTCGGCGATGCAGCACTTGGATATAACCTTGTTTAGTCTCCCTCGTGCTCTGTACAGTCGCCTGGAGTACCGCTTTCGATACCCGTTGCGTCGACTGGGTTGATCAGCTACCAGGGTGCAGCCACTTTCTGAAGGGTTCAGAAGCAGCTGGCATGAAAAAGGTTATGAGTTAGTCCTGATAAGTGTGAAGGTAGAATGTGGATTCAAGCATGCAATTTAGGTGGAGTTGCGGCAACGGGAGCTCGCGGTGGGCATTGGTAACAAGGTGCGAAGACGCCGAACGTGTCGATCTGTTGAACGAAATTGGTGACACTGGCCCAGCCTCCCCAGCCAATTCCAATCACAATGATCCACACCACGATGAATATGTTCACCAGGTAGACTCCTACCCAGCTGGGCATGAAGAAAGGAGGCTTTTCCACCGCGTTCTGCAATTTTTGTAGGCAGTGCAGCTCAGTTAGAAACTGGTTCATACTTTTGTTTTTTCATTCTTCATAAAGAAGTGTTAAGATTCCACGTAATTGGCGAGGAGATAATGAAAGAGCAATTTGTTTACCTGGCGAGCTGTTGCAGCGCGATACACAACCATGTGAGCTACACAAGGGATAATGTATACTGTGAAGGTAACCAGAAGGGCTCCGACCGTGGAGTTAATGGGTCCGAAGAACGGAAACGCAATAGCGAAGAACCAAACAGGTAATATCACTGGCATTCGCGACACTGCTCTTAGGAGAAGGCTCTTCGTATTGTGGATGCCAATCATCTTCTCCCACACGAAGTAGAGTGGAGTAACAGCAAAGCCAACAGTGATAAACTGCAACATACCATTATTTCACTGATTAATAGCTAGCCCATATGTTGTTCTAGAGATTGATGGGACAAATTAACTGCAGTTCACATTGATAGGAAGTAATAAAAGAGCATACCTGGTGAATGAGCATAAGAACAACTGCAACATCACGAGCCATGGTCCTCGGAAGCAAGGAAAGTGCATTGGAGTGTTTGAGGAGGTCGTCACCGAAAGCCCAATACACGGCCACAGCCGAAGGGATCGTCAAAGTGAACACATACAGTGTTGCAAACACATACACAAACTTGAACCTCACGGGTTTGTACATCGCGTGCATAATCTCTCTGCAGATGGTGATTTTGAATCCAAGTCAGCCTCACAAATTCAGAAGTTCCAGCCGGACAGGTGCAGAGAAAATAAGTTATATACTAGAATGAAAAACTCAACATCATGGACGTCGATCGGAGTCTTGGTGAGTAATTATAGCAAGTACTCACACAGTAACAGCGTGACCACCAAAGGTGTACAGAATATTGGTTGCTCCTGTGAAGTACAAGACCTTGGTCGTTGGAGCAGAATGAACAACATTGGCAACCTGGCTCCATAAAAGTCCAGAACCTCGTTAGGAGTGTTGGAAAGCAGAAATTGATTAGATTGATGGCTATATATAAAGATGAATAGAAATGACTCGTCTTCCTGTAAATAAAAAACCCGTAGCAATTCACGTCGTTGAAGTCCATTACCTGGCCATGGGCAAGAGCAGCAATAGTCATGTACCAAGCTGTGTAGGAGATCATAATGAGGCCGAAGAAAGACCACAGTCGGTAGTTTCGGAACGATGGTACCAGAACAGTAAGCATGCAACAGGCTCCGAATATGTAGGTCCATTCTCTCTTGTTCAAATGATCGTTAATCAAGAAGATGTTACTGCAATGCGCAAGAATCAAAAATGTTGGTCACAAGACGCGCTTATACCAACGAATCTGCGTAGACTTAACGTTGCAGAGAATCAGAAAATCGACAGAAACTAGGAACTATTGACTATGGGGGGAATGCGATTACAAGCTTCTCAAATTCTCAAGACATAATATGCAGCTTCCTGGTTGCTCAGAGAGCTACGCAAGTACTTCTTCTTGGACAATGGAATCTGGACTCAAACCCGAAAAGCTCCACATTCCTTGATCCAGACTAAGCTTGGGAAAACTCCTCGGCCAAAATTTTATTTTCAAATAGACACCAGTGGCGGTGGTATTAACTTCGTTAGCTGTGTTCATGGGTATTATCCATTCAGGATTATCTTTCTCTAGAAGACCTAATTAAGAATATGTAACTGCTTGTCGAGAGTGACTCATAGTCCTTTCAAATAGTTGACGATTAGGTTTGGGAGCGACACATACCTGGCGCAGGCAATGAGCTGGATGACTGCTCCAAAGAGAAGGAAGGTGCAGTTGAAAACAAGACCGACTATCTTCCAGTTGCGACCCAGCAACCCATCCAAGACCTCGAACCACTGTCCATCGCCATATTCAGCAAGAAACAAGGTTACAAATCAACAGAACTTATTGGACAGGACGGGCGAAAATTGACGCAACTACAAGTTTCATTTGCTATTTGCTTCAAAGGACCTGAATGACGTGGTTCTTGAAGATGACCCCCTCCCTCTCTTTCCGCGTCCGATACTCGACGTAGAGCCAGGTAATCATGTAACAAGACCAGCAGCCGATTACACCGTAGAAAAACTGGAACGCAATTCCGGAGGCAAACCCGAGCTGTGCGAAGGAGTAGGGCAGCGTCAGCAGCACTTGCGCGACCTGCATCGATTGAACCGACCCATCAGACGAAAAGATTAGACACAGCCATGGCCAATCCTGAAAAATCCGACGCAGTTACCTTCCACCTCAAAACGTCGGTACACACAGAATCAGAAAGAATGCTACCTACGGCCTTAAAAACTACGCTCGGCACCTCTACAAGCACCAGGGGCTTAAACATTGTATCTATGGTTCTACAGCGGCTCAATTCAGTGATGATCGCCACAGAAGCTATGAGGTTACAAGCATCACAAACTCCATCAGCCGACTCTCAAGCGCGTAGATTGAAGAAAAGTTCGACCAGGAAGTCACGATATCTGCAAATCTGCAACTTGACTCGCTGCTTGGAATGCATGTAAACAATCCATCACGTAGTAACTCGCAAAAAAAAAAAAAAAAAAAAAAAAAAAAACAGAAAACAGAACACAGAAAAGCTAAAACCTACAGACACCAAAGAATCTTTCCTACAGAAGTTGCATTCAGGCTTTCACAGGACTCGCACACAACCTGAGCACTAGCCGATTCTATCCTACCGAGGACATTCACATGATGCACCGAGATTGGTGAACGTTGAAACAGTGGGAGGACGACTCGAAATCGGATGCAAGCAATCTCGTTGGATACTACTGCAAAGTGTGTCGTTGGAAATGGGAGTGAGAATGCATTCGAGCTGAGCATGGTGAATGGAATGACCTGGTTGGAGGCGGCGCTGAACCAGGCATCCCAGACGGAGCCACCATGCCAAAGCAGGCGCTTCATCTGCCCACTCATGGACACGTCGTAAGGGCCATCCTGCAGCGATTCCAGCTTCTGGTTCTGCTCCTCCATCTCCCCATAGTTCCCCACTAGTCCTCCCTCCCTCGTTCCCATTGCGACAAACCCGCTGTAGCTCACTCACCCACCCACTCGTTCAAAATCCACAGAGCTGCAACAATTCAGTTACACTCAGGGTACCACTCTAACAGTAGAGAAAAAGCTCCTCGAAACTACTGACCAGATTGATACAACATTCTTGTCAAGGAGACCATGTCCAGGGTGTGATTCGATGGATTCAAATAACGCTCTCTCAAGTGCTGCAATCACAGGTTGAAATTCTGGAGCGCCCGAAACAAAAACCTACAGTAGAAACAGAACTTCGACGCAACTCTCTCCCCTATCAGTCAGAATCTGAATGGCACCGCCACCCCGCATTGATCAGAGCTACGAAACTAAAATCTGCGTTCCAAAATCGGGCACTAATTCAATAACTGTGCTGTGTGTTGTGACCGCGAACTCCCTTCCGCTCCTGGCTAAAAAGCGTCGCCGATTCTTCAAAACTATGTAGCCTGGGGATCAGGATGAGTTACACATCCACAGGCAGATTCTCCCACTGAAATCTCTGCGCCTGAGGCCAACTCCTCTGGCAACTACGACACCCACCAAGTTGGACACTGTTAAGGGCCACCACAAAAGGGAGGGGGACCGAGCACTGTGGCCCACTGAGGAGAAGTCCTCGCTGCGGTTGATGGTGCTGGTGCTCATGCGGCGCTTTGTTTCAACCTTGACTGACAAGATAATGATGCTCGATCATGCGTCACATAACTCTTGGCTTGCTCGATGATGCACATCATGCAGCAGCTGGCTTCCTGCTCAAATGCGAGCTGAGCGTGAGCGGCGGTTGTCCTTGCAACCCAAGGCCAGAATCTATCTAATAGAGCCCCCCCCCTCCCTCTCTCTCTCTCTCTCTTTCTCTCTCTTTCATAACACCACCACCACCACCTCTTTCATGGCAGCATAGACTCCACACTGACCCTGCTCGTAGGTCTACAACCGGCAGCGTAGCAGGAGGGGGCAGCAGCAGCAGCAAGCACGACCCAGCTACCAAATCCCTTTCTCAGCCAAAACAAAATTCCCTTTGGAGCAGTATCGATCACGGATTCAGCTGCTCTGACACACCACCCCTGCCTGGCAACGCGGCCTGGCTAATATTTTTGCATTCAACCTCCCCTCCCTCCCTCCCTTCCTCCCAGGCATGCCAGGCGGACTGGAGACCAGTCCCATCTACTGATCCACCGCACTACGTCGTCGATGGTCTGCAGCGTGTGCCCGACCCTGGCAGAGTGCGGTAGAAACACTATTATTATAAACAATGAAGAAAATAATAATAATGATAAAATAGAATGATGTTAATAAAATACTATTCTGTGGGATTATGTTGCAACTGGACAGCGGTACCTTGGAGATCGGCCTCACCCCCTGCAAGTACGCCAAATCTCTGTGAGCCCCCCCCTCCCTCACTCCCTCACTCCTCGTTTAAATAAATTGGGGGGGGAGGCATTAATATTATTTTATGGTTTCCCTCTCTCTGGTAATCTTCCGTTTCTATTCAAACTCCTCTCTCTCTCTCTCTCTCTCATTCGTGGCTTCTGATCTCCTGGTTCTGCCGCTGCTGCTGTTGTGCTCCAGCTTCCCCCACTGTCCTGCCCCTGGTTTTTACCTTACCTGGCGGCGGCGGCAGCAGCAGAAGCAGAGACAGTGGCCTCCTCTTCTTCTTCCTCCTTCTGATCTTGTTCTTGTTGCTGCTGCTGCTGCGATGGATGATGCGTCTGGGAAATGGATCTTCTCCCAGACACACACACACACACTCTCTCTCTCTCTCACTCACACACACACACAGATACACACTTGTTATTCCTTTCACCAGGCTTCAGTGTCACTCTCTCTTTCGCTTTGTGTGTGTGTGTATTGCTTCTGCTTCTTCTTCTTCTTCTTCCTCGTATGTCTTAGTTGCTTGCAGGTTGTATGAGCATAGTGGCAGTGGTACTGAGAGCATGCACTTGGCTTGGCTTGGCCTCACCACTTCATGACCAGCACAGTGCAATGCAATGCAGCAGCCCATCTGTCCATGCAGACCTTCACTTGGGTCACACCCCCTCACACTCACCCACACACTCATATTTCATGCAAATCATTTAATGCTCTGTCCAGGGGAAAATGATTATATGCACATGTATACACATATATAATAGAGTGAGAGAAAGGGGGGAGGGGGGGGAATTGGTGGACATTTTTGACAAAATTTTAGTATTTTTATTTACACTATGTAAGGGAAATCTATTGGGAATTTCCAGTTAATCTATAGCAGAACTTAGTTGTTTTGTTTATTGTATTGTGAGTGAAGTGATTAATATTTCATGAAGTCTTTTAAAAATTATTGAGCGGTGTGATGAGAGCACTTTAAAAGATATTAAAGCTTTTTGCATGTGGTGCTCAATGTAATTTAATACTTGCCAAGATATTATTGAAATAGAAAAACATACAAAACCAATGTTTAACTGTTTAGTATTAGTTGTAATGAATATAGGATTGATTTGACATCAAGTACAAAGTTATAGTACTTTGAATTGACTACATGACAAATGAATATCATGATGAACATGATGCAATTATATTAAGACATAGTAAAAACAAGATATTTAGTTATAATTAGCTATGCTTTGGTACCAAACATATGTATATGCAAATTTTGAGCAGAGAAAAACAAGGTGTGAAATCTTTTTTATCATACTGTTTATTTGTTACCTCTGATGTTAAAGCTTCGTTGACAATAGTACTTCACATTTAAGATTTCTTCTAGAGTGATAAATATGAATATATATATATATATATATATTCGTTTTAAAGGTCTTGAACATCAAGGATATACTGATTAAAAATAATTATAGTGATGTTTGAAATTTTATTCTACATTGGTTCAAGTGTCTTGTTAAAAAACATAATGAATGCACACTGTCCATGTTGTATAACATTACATTTCTCTATTCTGTTTCAAATACCAATTGCAACAATGAATTTATTTCTTCTATTAACTTAACACCAAACATGATTCAATAGTATTGTGAATAAATATTGTATTTATTCATTACTACCTTTGTAGTGGTATATAAAAGCTACATGTTTGAAACATTTTTGGTATCAAATAAGTCATAAAATGGGATTTTACAATTCGACTGCTTGTAAAAAAGTTATTGTAAAATTAATGTTTTAATTGAACGAAGCAGAGAAGTATTGCATGTATTGGAATAATCTGTTTGATGGTAGATATATGTATTATTAATTGTATTGACCAGCAACCACTTTGTGTTATTAGAATGTGTGTAACTATTTTGACTGATTGATTAAATTGGGATTTATACTTTATCACACCATGAGGGTTTTGACATACAAAATACTGCTATAATTTTAGCACTCCTTTGATGTCATGAAGGTAAAATTTCTTGCAACCAGAGGAAGGAAATGTTAAAGAAAATTGTAAGCAGTTGTCAACATTCAAAATGGATACGACTTTAACATGTTGAAATTAGACCCAAGGTGTGAAGTGAATCCATGCAATACAACATCACTTATCTTTTTAAAACACAAGCACAACTAATACAGAGTACCTTGCTTCAACATAATAATAGACATAAAAGAAAGAAAGAAGAAAGCAAGAATGTAAAAAAAATAAAAAAATAAAAAAATAAAAAATCAAGATCATGTATCCATCAAAAGCAACTATAGTACAAATTAAATACAATTGTATACGCACTTAAAATCAATTAGTATATCATGGAATACAACTGTACCCTTCACAATTAGAATTATTGACTATAACTATTATGTGTGTTTAAAATTGTACAAGTTAAATACATAGAAGTCCTTGATTGCTTCATGTATCTTTCAATGAACTACATACTGCAGTAAAACACCTAACTAATCACTCCAACAAAAGAATAATGAAATTAAAAGAAAAATATTTTCTTTCAACATTCACACTTTTTTTAGATTTTTGTAAATAAGAGTCAAAAAAAAAAAAAAAAAAAAAAAAAAAAAACACACACACACTGTAATTTGACATTATCTCAATTGGTCAATATTATTTAATTTCTCTTGATTTAAGTCTATTGGGGAAAAAATTACACACACATATCTTTCACTGGCCATTCATCTGGAAAGTTTAAAATTGGTACCATATTCAAGGAACAAAAAAAACTATTGCTAAACAAACAATGATTTGGAGCCATAATTCTTTCTTCCTCTTCTTATTCTTCTTCATTTCATTTGTTTACTTCTCTCTATCTGTAAAATCTCATGATAAATGTCAAGGTAGAAATATTTTGGTGGAATGTGAATGTAAGAAACATGCAATAAATATATTTTTTGATGTTTGTCAAACTTATACTTTAAATTGTCCAATTAGTATGTATACATACATATAAATAAACACACACACACACATCATGAGGAGGGCATTGTGTTTATTGAAATTGAACCAAAATGTTTTTATGAGTTGTCATCTTACTCCTCAGTTCAACAAGTTGTGAATCTACATGTCATGTCCATAATAGAAAGATGAAGAAGTCCTATGTGGTGCCACTTTCCAAATGACTTCCATGTGTGAGTGATCATTCCCAACAAGACAAATCCAATGAGATAAAGGTGAAGCAGCTTATTCCATGGATCAGGATGTATCACAAATGGACCATCCAGTTTGAACTCTCTGATTGATATCTCCCTCTCTATGTTTATATATATAGATATATATGTGTGTGTGTGTGTGTGTGTGTGTGTATTTTATATATAATTTATATATCCACTCACACATACACTCCCATCAATGTCCTCACGTGCATGTAAGTCGCTTTGGGATGAATGACATCTATTGCACATGGCTTCACTTTCTGTTCATCCATTTCATAGGCCTCATCTCCCTTTGAGAGAGCTTTGTTCCTCTGAAAAGGTCTTTGGTTGAGTTGTTCCCAAAGAGGGGCTCTGAGTTCCCAACCCCTCTTTACCACTACAACACATCCCTTTCTTTCTATTATGAGTGTGGCTTCATGTTATTGCCCTTCATACTCACTATTCATGATCCTAACTTCAAAGATTGTTTGGGGTTTGAATCATTTTCATGCATTAAATGAGAAAAGTGGGTGAGATAAATGGGTACAAAAAAATTGTCCTTTCCAAGATAATACACACACCATTTTATTTGACAATGAATTCGAGATAAAGTCGAGGCACTTTTGTAGTAGTAAGTTCATGGATTCCAGTGAAATTACTTCATACTTCCCATGAAATATTGTGTATGTGTGTTGTGTGTTTAACTACGAATGTAGCTACAACATAAGGATTTTTTTTTTGTTAAAGATGAGATCTTCTTTTCTCCTTCCAAAGAAGAGTGGCTCAACACATAGAAGACTAAGCAGATTTTTAACTTTTTGAAATGTTGTTTTTTTGACACAATTTTATGTTTTGTTAATCCCTACTGCTTCATTTGCATATGACTATTAGTAATTGGAAACAAGGTTTGATTTTTACAGTAAAAAGTATCAAAGAAAAGATTGCAAAGTAGAATAGACCTTGGTTAATCTCATAGTGAAAAAAGGTCTGTTGCATAAAAAGCATACTAGAAAATGAAGAAATGTGGTGATTGAATGCAGGGGTAGAGGAAAAGTTGATTTTCTAAGGAAAAATTTGACCGAGTGTCACATCCACAACAACTCGAAAATGAATCAATTAACACTAAAAAATTAAACAAAATTGTGTCTCGTTGTCCTCTTTTGATGCAAATATAATACGTATATTTAAAATATCGTGAAAGACCTGTTTGAAAATGATGTGACAAAGTGTTACATAAAAACCATCATTTTGTTTACCAAAAAAGCACTGTTT